GCCATCCAGCCTCTGTTTAAAGGCCTCCAAAGAAGGAGACTCCATTGCCCTCCAAGGGAGCAATGTCTTCCACTGTCAAACAGCTCTTATTCGCAGGAAGTTCCTCCTAATGTTGAGGTGGACTCTCTTTTCTTGTACCTTGCTTCCATTGCTCCATGCCCTGGAGCTGCCCTGAGTCTCAGTCTTGTGAATAGAGCGGGATTTAAATAATAATAATAATGAATAATAATTAATATAACCGCAGGAGCAGCGAGAGCCAACGAAGGGAGAAGGGAAGGTCTCACCATAAAGGAGGCTCCACTCCGCTCCACTCAGAGAGTCATTCAGCGTAGCGCGTTGCACTCTGGGAATTCCTGCACCTCGCCCTCCTCTCTCCTTAAAATGGCGGAAAGACGGACGGCGCGCTGCCTCTCGGGAATGGTAGTTCGCCGGGAATGACGTCAGCCTCGGTTTGTTGTCATCTAGATATAAGAACGTTAGAGCATCACACTCTACCATAACTTCCGGGTTCCTTTCCTTTTAAGAACCTCCGAGGCTTCCTCCACACTGCAGAAACAGTCCGGTTGGACACGGCTTTAAGTGCTCAAGGCTATGGAATTCTGGGAACTGTAAGCTTGCTGTGGCACCCATGGGATGTCTCTAAAACCTCCCCGCCATTTTGTTTCTTACGGTATTTTTGTCTCGGGCAGCTGTCGCATGAAAAGCGGAAGTGAGAGGCTGAGGGAGGTATCTAAACTCTACTACTCCCCTTTGGTTTCCCTCCCAAGCTCTATGCCTCCCTCTTCTGGCGCCCTCCCCGCAAGGCATGCCGGGAGAGGAGGCGCGTGCGCAGTGACGCCTCCGCCTCCCTTAGGCATGCTGGGAGTCGTAGTTTTCCGGCCGTGAGGGGAAGCGGAACCTCTCTTGCCCGGCCACCTCAGCGCCTGTGAGGAGGCAGCCATGGAGGGAGACGGAGGGCAGGTGCTCTGCCTCTTCGACGTGGACGGAACCCTGACGGGACCACGGCAGGTGGGAGAGAGTGCCTCTGAGCATGTGCAGAGTGCTCTTGAATCTGAGTTAGCCCTTAAGGGAGGACCAGGAAGGGAGGCAGTGCTTTTTCGTGCCTCCACAATGATGAAAATAATGCATTTTTTGGCCGGTCTGTCTGGTTGGAGAAAGAAAACAGGGTTTAAAAACAGGGGTTTTTTCCTCTTTAAATCGGGTATTTTAAAATTTTACTTTAATGTTTTAAAGAAAAGAATTGTGTTATATTTAATGTCAATAATAATATTGAATCCCTATATTGGGAGAAGGGAGGGATATAAGGAATTATTATTATTATTATTATTATTTCAGGTCTATATTTCTTGTTAGGAAGGAAACAGGGTTAAAAAAACAAGTTTTTCCCCTTTAAACTGGGTATTTTAAAAATTTAAACCCATTTTTTTCCTTAACATTTTAATGAAAAGGCTTGTATTATATTTAATATTAATAATAATGCTAATAATGTTGAGACCCTATATTGGGACAAAGGAGGGATGTGAGGAAGTATTGTTGTTGTCGTTATTATTGTCATTATTATTATTATTTCAGGTCTATATTTCTTGTTGGGAAGGAAACAGGCTTTAAGCAGTTTTTTCCCCTTTAAACTGGGTATTTTAAAAATGTAAACTATGTTTTAACGAAAAGACTTGTATTATATTTAATATTAAAGTTAATAATAATAATAATAATAATAAATTGACCTTTATATTGGGAGAGTAAATAATAATAATAATAACAATTGTAATAATAATTACAATTAATCATGACTTCAATTATTAAAATAATTGTATTGTTTTCAATTTGCTTTTCTCCACTTTGAGTCCCTATATTGGGGGAAAGGTGGATATAAGTAGTAGTAGTAGTAGTAATAATAATAATAATAATAGTAATAATAATAATATTATATTTAGTTATATCCTGCCTTTCTCCCAATTTAGTGACTCAACGTGGTGAAAAGCAACCTTAAAATAATACCATTGAAAAATATAAAAAAAATGATGAATGCTAATAATAAATGTTATTAATAAATGTAGTTCGGATTTTATAGTATTGTATTTCAACGGTTGGTTTTATGTTCTCTTATGTGACACAGAGGTTTGAGCGTTGGACTATAACTCTGGAGACCAGGGTTCGAATCCCTGCTCAGCCACAAAACCCACTCTTGGACAAGTCACACTCTCTCAGCCTCAGAGGAAGGCAATGGCAAACCCCCTCTGAAGAAACTTGCCAAGAAAACCTCAGGATAGGTTTGTCTTAGGGTTGCCATAAGTCAGAAATCATTGAAGGCACACAGCAACACTATTTATATTTGGCAGAATCTCTGTTAAAAGCCAGCATGGTGCAGTAGTATGAGTGTTTGACTAGGGTTGCAAATACACTGCAGAAATAATCCAGTTTCACACCACTTTAACTGCCTTGTCTCAATGTTATGGAATTCTGGGATTTGTCGTTTTGTGAGACATTCAGCCTTCTCTGTTAGAGAGCTCTGGTGCCACAACAAACTACAAACCCCATGATTCCCTATCATTGAGCCGTGACAGTCAAAGTGGTGTCAAACTGCATCAATTCGGTGGATGCAGACTAGGACTCTGGGAGATCAGGGTTGGAATCCCTGTTCAGGTGTAGAAACCCACTGGGTGACCTTGCTCAAGTCACACTCTCTCAGCCTCAGAGAGAGAGGAAAACTGCTAGGAAAACTGTCAAAGAAGATTGCCAGTAAGTCAGTGTTGGCTTGAAGTTGACACAAACAACGAATGTTATACAGGTTTTATTGTAAGCCGCTTGGATTGTCTGGCAATAAGCGGGATACAAATAAATATTATTATTATTATTATTATTATTATTATGAATGTTATGACGGAAAACATATGAGTCTTTCTTTCTCTTTATTCCAGAAAATGACTCCAGAGATGGCTGACTTCCTGCAGGCGTTGAGGAAGAAGGTGAAAGTGGGAGTAGTGGGCGGCTCAGATTTCGAAAAGATTCAAGAACAACTTGGGGAAGACGGTAAGTTTTTTTTCCTGCTTCCAAGAATGCTGTGAAGGTACTTTTTTAAAGTATAAAAGTGGGATTTTAAAAACGCAGTAACCTAAAGAAATAAAATAGCCCCCAAATGATATTTTACATGGCAGCGATATCACTTTTTTGAAAAATGAACAACAGCTATTGATATCGTATGCTGTTTGGGTTCATTTATCTATTTATTTTATTTCTTCCAGGAGGGACCCGCGGTGGCTCACTGATAAAACATTTAAAAATCTCAATAAAATTCAAACAATCAAAATCACCTACAACAATATCAACTCACATAAAAATGCACAAAAGTTAAAAGCAGAACTAAAACTCACCTGCTCCATAAAAACCACCCTGATGTCCATTGTTGGAACTGGGATAAATGGAACTTTTATGTTCTTTTTATTGACTCAAACCACATATTTAAAATAAATTGTGAGCCTATCACTTTTAAATAATCCAGTTAATAGAGAAATTTATATATATGTATATATATGAGTTTGAATTTCCTCCATTTTAAGCCGCAGAAGCTTGTTAGGAAACATAAACTCTATGAAGAAGCACCAAAAGGTTTTCTGGTTTGGTGAAAGCTTCTATATTTTACATGGTACCCGAAAATGACTGACAGAAATAATCTATTTTTTCTCCTTTTTTTCCATAGTTGTTGAAAAATTTGACTATGTCTTTCCAGAAAATGGTCTAGTGGCATACAAAGATGGAAAATTTGTCAGTAAGCAGGTGAGTTTCTAACATGGGATTAACTAATAAATCTGAGATGAATTCATATGGGCTGTATCAGAAGTTTTCACACCGGTTTCTCTGACGTGAAAATCACAATTTCTTTTTGTGTAATTCCATTCTCTTCTAACCCACTGACAATGAAGATTTTCAGACCTGAATCAATTTGGCTGCCAGTTGGCATTGCTCCTTCCATTCTGATATTTTATTTTTCTACTGAACATAAGTCAGAACACTTCTATACCTCTTCTTGTTTTTAAAAATCTCAAGGTGTTTACAATGAAAACAGATACAATAAAACCAGTAGCTCAAAACAATAGAGAAATGAAATTAATTGAAAGCAGTTCATTTAAAAAAATAGGGGTAATTGACAAGGTGTGCATACTGTAGAAATGATGCAGTTTTTACACTACTTTAACTGCCTTGGCTTCATTCCACAGAATCCTGGGATTTGTAGTTTGGCGAGGCACCAGCACTCTTTGGCAGAGAAGGCGAAATCCCAAGAATTCCATAAAGTGGAACTTATGGAACTTAAAGTGGTATAAAACTACATAATTTCTACAATGTGCGCAGCCCCAGCCCTGAGTTTGCCAATCCTGGGTGAGATTCTAAATGCTAGGGAATTCTGGGAACTGTAGTTTTGTGAAATACTTAGCCTTCACTGTCAGAGAGCTCTGGTGCCACAATAAACTCCAATTCCCAGGATTCCCTAGCACTGAGCCAGGGCATTTAAAGTGGTCTCAAACTGGATCTGCAGTGTGTTTTGAACCCATATTGCCAAGATCTAGTTAAAAACCAATGTGGAATTTCTTCAGATTTTAGAAAATCCAGTGAAGATCTAGGAACAATCCTTAGGAAAGCAAAAACATGCCTCCATTCTAACCCCTGAATTCTCACCATTTAGGGGTTGCTGAACAAAGACCCTTTTATAAAAAGAATCCTTCCTTACAGTGAAAGGGAGATAATGTCTGTTGGGGAGATACTTTTTCTTGGTATGTTTGATCAGTCCCTCATACTTCTGTGTGTCTCTTTCTAGAGCATTCAAGGCCATTTGGGTGAAGAGCTGCTTCAAGACTTGATCAACTATTGTCTGAGTTACATTGCAAAAATTAAGCTTCCCAGGAAACGGTATGGATGCAATACTAGGTCTTTTTCTTCATCTTGCGGTTGCTCTCCCATGGCTGCATCTGTTCGGCAGAAATAATGCTGTTTGACACTGCTTTAACTGCCATGGCTCAATGCTGTGGAGTCCTGGAATTTGTAGTTTGTTGCGGCACCAGAGTGCTTTAACAGAGAACATGAACATCTCATAAAACTACAAATCCAGGATTCCATAGTGTTGAGCCATGGCAGTTAAAGCAGAGTAAAAGTGCATTATTTCTGCAGTGTAGATGCAACCCATGTTTCAGTCAAATGCTTTAACCACTAAACACCATTTGATCTGCCACTTTAAAAGTGTGGTCGACTTCTAAAAACATACTCTTGTGCCTTTCTCTCACTAAGGTTCAGCACAGTGGGGGGGAAAAAGAAAGATTTCTACACAGGAGGCAATTTATTCCCAGAAGACAGTTAGGGACCTCCAGACAGGACAGCTTAAAAAGGGGAGTGGGCAAATTCATGAAGGATTTGGCTGTCAGTAGCTATTAGTGATGGTGACTCGATGATCCCACTATGCATCAATTGCTGGGGAAACTCAGAGGTTGCAGTTGCGCTCAGGTCCTGCTGGTGGGCTTCCCAGAGGCAATTCTGGGTGCAGAATGTGGGACTACATAGGCCTTTAGCATGTTTTTTTGCATGTGACATTCAGTATGGTTACTGCAATGACATCTCATAAGTAACCTCCCTATTTCTTGACCCCTTGGAGAGATATTTTTTATTACAATCTCAGACAATAGGTGTGCTTTTTTGGCCATGTCTTTTTAGGGGCACGTTTATTGAATTCCGGAACGGGATGCTGAATGTGTGTCCTGTCGGCAGAAGCTGCAGCCAGAATGAACGGATTGAGTTCTATGAACTTGATAAAGTAAGTGTGATGTCGCCTTTCTAAAGCTCACCTCTTGACATCTGTGGTGTTTGGAGGGCAAGTTCTCCTTACACCAGAGTTTTGCCCAGTCCTCCAAGTGTGTAGTGAGAAGCGTTGTGGCTTCTAGTCACTGGTTTGAATCCCTGTGCATCTTACTCTCAGGCACTGCTGTAATGGTGGAGGAAAGCTGCGCTGAGTGACAGTAATGCTATCCTTGGATGGGGAGAGGAGGGAGAGAGCCATAGTGTTCCAGCTGTATTTCAAACAAACTATGGAAAATCTCCTTTTGTTGGACTACAGCTCCTGAAATTCCAGGATTCTGGGACCTGTAGTCCTGCAAAAGGAACTTTTCAATGCCCAGTTTTGGGTAACAGTATGATTTCTTGGTGGGTAGATAGGAAATGGGGGGAAAAATCAAAAACTGGAGAGAGGCCAATGGAATCTAGGAAGAAAAAGGAGAAATGTCTCAAGATACTGGGGCGACGAGAGGGGGAATGTGTTGTTGTTTTTTAATTTGCTAGAAAGCCCACTATGTTTTGCCCTGTGAATGCTCTTTAAGGTCTTTTTGAGGGATCTATATAAAGATAACACAAGGACAAGACAAAAATACCTGACATGTTGAGATGCATCTCCTTTCATAGATCTGTAATGGCCAACACACTTCCTCAATGTGTGGGATTGTACTGGGGTCTAAACTCAAGAGGTTATAGCAGGTATAAACTCAATTTTCAAAGGGTGGTGGTGAAGCTTGTCAGCGCCTGTATAACCTGAGTGCCTCTCCCTGCAGCACAAAATCTCCAAATCCCCTGCAACTTGACAATGTTTCACAACAGAAGGGCAGGGGCTTCTCCTTGGACACGCTGATGTGGCATACTAGCCTGTTTTGTGAGTTGGTACTGTTTCCTAAAACTGATAACTCCTTTGTTTGTATTTCTTATTTATTTATTTTTTTGAACAGAGGGAACATATAAGAGAGAAATTTGTGGCTGATTTGAAAAGGGACTTTGCAGGAAAAGGCCTCACGTTTTCCATAGGTATCATCACTTCTTTAAAGCAAATCTGACAATCATTTCCATTGGTGCCAGATTTCATCTGGGGGCTGATTCAACTGCTCAGATGGTGGATACTTTGTCAGAAAGGATAAGGTTGAATTCCCAGGGCTTCCTTCCCCAAACCTTCCTCCCCTGCTTTCTTTGCCCCAGATCTCCGCATCTCTGGATAATTTTATTTTTAAAAGGGCCCCCTTGACATCTCCTTTTTGGCTCAGTCCTGTGGGTCTTTCAAATAAAAATGTTTGAGAAAGTGATTAACAAGTATTTGTAACAAAGAATAAACACTGTAAATAAATGGGGCAGAATTGATGCTGAGCTGGAAAA